GGGAAAGATTGAGTGACATTTTCACGCAATCAAGAGAAAAGGTCTATTGTTTCCACTGACTCAGGTATTTAAAGTAAGAACACTGTTGAGGTGCCCCCGTAACTACTGTGCTGATGTGCTGCAGAAGGCATGTGGATAAAGTGCCAAGGCCAATGATGCGTCCATTACATACGTCTCCATTTTAATTACCCAACTGGAATGGAAAAAACCCCTGAAAAACCCAAGAGTTGTAAAATCACAACAAATGTGTTATATCTAGAAATGCTTAGAACTGATTGATGCGATTTACATCTAAGCCACTTTAATTTGCACTAGACTGAAACTTGGCATGTTTTTCGGTCCAGATGTAATTCATTTAAATTCTTTTGGTTGGTTTTCAATTTAGAAATAAGTAGACACAAAATCTTGCTTGTCTCAATTTTTTTTCACACATTTGTGAAGTAAAATTATTCAAATTATTAAGTGACTGTTCTTAAACTAAGGACAGCATTCATTTGGGAGACGAGGAAATGAAAAGGGGACTATCAGGAAGCTAAAGTGTTTTCCTCTTCAATTACGTACATGGTAGCCTGTTTCCCCGAAAGTAAGACACCCCCAAAAATAAGACCTACTTACAGTTTTGCCTCTCGCTGAAATAAAAGGCATCCCCCGAAAACAGGACCCCCCCCCCCCGAAAATAAATCCTCCTGAAGCTACCATAACTCTGGACTCTGGACAGTAGCGGCGGGCACCGCCACACAGCTCACTGTTGGCCGCAGTGCAGTCGGAGCAGACAGGAAGTGCGAGGTCTCTTTTAATAAAACAATAAACAATAAATGTGCACCGTATTCTTCTTCATGGAAAAATAAGATATCCCTGAAAATAAGACCTAGCACATCTTTGGGAGCAAAAATTAATATAAGACACTGTCTTATTTTCGGGGAAACAGGTTAGTATTTGTGGCCACCATGCAGGGCCCAGTTGCTTCAATGAAAAATATCACATTAAGTATTATGTAAGCTTATTGCACTAACTATACGTAAGCTTTTATTTTTATTATAGATTTCATAACCTTTTGGGAAGACACACCCACCCATAGCTGTGGAGCCAGTTCAGACCCATAGCGACCCTGCAAGGTAGAGCAGAACTGCTCCATAGATTTCCAAGACTGTAAATCTTAATGGGAGGGTCAGCTGCATCTTTCTCCTATGGAGCTGCTGACGGATCTGAATTACTGAACTTGTAGTTCATTGAAAGTGATCCTTTCATATACGCCCAAGAGTTAACCCACTGCATCACCAAGTCCCCTTAAAGACTTAGGGAGAAACCGCATACCTCAGAAAGCAGTTTTCTACTAAGGCATCCCCATTAAGCATTTCTGTTTTCAATCCTCTCTTCCTGCATCTCTAATGGGTTTCTCTCCATCTCTGCCTCTCTGCACCCACCAGTCTTTTCCCTAGAATTGTTTCCACCGATTACATCTCCTATACTCCACTTGCCCCTTTTATCATCTGCTTAGCTATAGAACTTGAGCTATCCTTTTTTATATAAGCATTGCAAGTGCTTTACCTTTCACCCAGGTATCTTTATAGAGCCTTTAATTCTGAATTAGTATCAGTTTTTGGTGCGAATTCTCCTCCCGTTTTTACATGTACAACCTCGCATAAACATTTACACCATGTTTGTGAAATATAGCTGTAATAGTTTGGCTCAGATTCTGGTTGGTTTGAATATCCAAATACATAGGGGATCTTGAATTCATAAAACTGTGTGAGCTAAATCAATGGTATTGTAGTTTGTTGCCACTGGAAATGGTGTTCAGTAATAACCAATTAACTGGACAGAAATAACCATAGACCCTGTGATTGATAAGCTTGTGCCTTCTGGCTTACAAGACCACTAACGGGTTCCAACTCCAAAAATCAATGCTTTGGATTTACCACTGCCCCAATCAAAAATCTCTAGTGGATTTCCCTTTTCGGGGGCTCTGTGAAGGCAGAGACTTTGATGTGTATAGCACTGTCTCCTTGGGACCTAAGGAAGCGTAGGGAACATGAAATTCTACTAAGTGATGACTAATACAAGTTAAAGTTTTCATCAGTCATGACCGACCAGGTATATTGCAACAACAAATACCCCTTAAGTCTCAACTGCTTAAACAACAAATTCATTCTGCTTACTATATATACCCTCCATGGATTGGTGAAAAGCAGGAAGAACCCAATTATAATCACCTAGGCTGTAGGCTGAAGGTTCAGTGGGTCCATGTTCCAGAAGCAACGAGAGATATGGCAAGTGTCACCCTGACCATTAAATGCTCCAGACGCAAGTGATGTCATCAGTTCTTCTGACACCTCATTGGCTAGAACTTTATGGCCTACCCAGCCATCAAGGGGTCAAGGAGTGGAAGTGACCAGGAGGAAGAAAGGTGTGGCCTGTTAATAGTTTTGCTTTTACTTGGAAGAAATGGTAAAATGTCCAGTAAAGACCAAAACCTGTAAAGACCAAACTATTGCCTATTCGTGAGCCAAACTGTCACAGACTACAAAGTATCTGGGAGAAAAAAAGTGAAATTCTTCTGATATGCTTGTCCTGTTAGACTTGTGTAAATAGTCACTTAAGCCTGGAAGACCCAATGTTTTCTTTTAGTATTTATTGTTATTCTTTTTATCAATTTCCAGTGATATCTATCTGTCTCTGTTGGACATAATCCATGAGGAGGTGATTCTCATTTATGAAATTGAAGTGTAGCTCAATAATTCTGCTGACTTTCAACTTAAGCCCTAGAAATGAAAAATAATGATAAGTTTTCAAAATGGTAGCCTTTATTAGGAGATTTGCATTTACTCTTAATTTCAACTCAAAGAAAATCCACCATGGGGCAAGACTATTTTATGCACTTGTATATTTCATATGCCTAGATGCACTTAGTACATACCTGTTGAATGAATGAACAATAATTGCTTGAGTCTTCCTCAATATTAACAGTCAAAGAAAATTTAGTGGTTAATTCTTTTGTTGGTTATTCCATTGAGCATTTTATTTACATGCTTGAGAGTGTGCTTGGGCCAGATTTCTGGGTTTGAAACCTACTTAGTTTCAAATACACTTGATAGCTGTATAATCTTGAGAAAATGTCATAACTTTTATTTAGCCCCTTAGACTCTATATCTGTAAAATTAGAATGATAATTTTTACCTTATGGAGTAAAAAGGATCAAGTTACATGTTCCTAACAGCATACTCAGAAACATGCTAGTTTGTGGAGCCAGTTGAATAAACATGTTACTGCTATGGCTGCGGCTCATAATCAAATCCCTAGATGGCGCAAACTACTAACCTAAATGTTAGTGGTTTGAACCTACCATTTGGTACTGAGTAAGAAAAGGCCTGGCAATCTGTTCCCAGTGCAATTACACCTAAGAAACCCTGTGGAGTAGTTCTACTCTGCAGCACACAAGGTCACCCCGAGTCAGAGCTGATTTGGCAGCAGCTAACAACAATTGTTCTTATCAGATTTGTCTTATACTGCAATAGTCAAGAGCAAAATTTTTGCATATACTTAACAACAGAACAGTAAAGAAACAGAGATGACACATGACATAGTAACCAGCACGTTGATGCTCTTGGTGTGCTTTCTACTGTTGTCATTATGGTCATCTTGAAACTTGTTTGGTTGTAAGGTTTAATGAACTGCTCTTGTTACAACATGTATTGTGCAGTGTGCAAGATTAGGGGACAGGCAAGACTGATGAGTCTGAAGAATCCCACACTCTCTTACTATCATAAAACCTCACTGCCACGGAGTCAATTCTGACTTACGTCAACCCTATGGGACAGGGTAGAGCTGCCCATGTGGGCTTCTGAGATTGTAACTCTTCATGGGAGTAGAAAGTCTCATCTTTTTCCTGCAGAGCCAGGGTGGTTCTGAACTGCTGACCTGGCAGTTAGCAGCCCAATAGGTAACATTAAAAAAAACAGAATGGCTCCCAAAGATACATTACAGAATGGAGCCTTCCTTATAATCACAAGAAGGAATCCAAATGACGTTCAAAGAAAAAAAATGATGAGAAATATCTTGATGTTGAAAGTTTAGAGGCACAACCTAAGAGCACATAGCCTGTTCTATGAGATAGAGATCACATTGTTCATGTCCCGGCTTTGTCCCGCACACTCGCAAGGAGACTTCAGAATGCTTATGGACAAATGCCATGATCTATTTATTCCATTTTGCATGAGCCTTTTGATGTCCCTTCATATGATTTATGGAACAACTGAGTGTGTATCAGAGAATTATTACTAGTGCAATGGAAATAGCTTATTTTATTTGCACCGTTGTTGTTTAGGGAAAATTAAGCTGAAGAAAAAGAGTCCACAGTACAGTAGTAGAAAATAGATGTTGAATGACTAAATGTCTTCTACCATCTGTAGCACGTTATTTGAGGGACAGGGAATTGAGGGAGGGGAGGAGGATGTGCCTTGAACATATTTCTTCATCAAAACTCAGTGTTTGATGTTGAAAATGACCAGTTTCTATTTCTTAAGCATGTTTTGTAAAACCCCAGTAGATTTTCCATAGTATTCATGCATATAAATTCATAGTGCATCTGATATGTAGCATATTCCCAGACACAGCTATCGAAGCAACTGAAGGCCTTAAAGATTTGTACAACGTGAACAACATTACTGGTTCGCTTACTGGCAAAAAACCATTCAGAGGAAAGAAAGCTCAGACTTCACTTTCCCTTTTCCTGTTAGAAGTCTGGGAGCACCATTAACACCACTGATGATTTGCAGAATGCCTCTTTCCCATTGTTTCTCCTTCCCTCCTTTGACAAATGAATGGTATCAGTAAAAGCTCTCACGGAGCATCATCAGGCATTACAGTGTTAAAGCGCCTTCAGTTGGGGAAGAGTTAGTGGGCAGGTATTAGAATTCACTGTAGCTGTAATAGAGGGTAATGTCACTTTAAGACATGTGATACTTTACAGAGGAGGGATGTATTGAAACAGACTACTGCTACTTACAGCACCAGCACCGTATAGCAGCCCTGCTCCTACATTTGGCTGCCTTACTCTGCCCTGAAAGCACTGGCGTGGGGAAGGTCCGTCACTGACTAGAAACTGAATCTCATCAGGAAACTACACATTATCTCACCATCACTTCAAAGGTCTCGCCCGGCAAAGGGGACGCCAGGAAATGATTTAAAGGTGAAAATGACAAGGTTTCCACTTCTCAAACCTTGGCTCCTTTTCTGACAATGCGGTCTGAATGAACCCTGATGTCTTCTTTACTGTGGACATAGGATTGGACGAGAGGAAACTAACAAACATTTTTTTTTGTTTAATCCTGATAAAGAAGATTGTTGGGAAGCTGTTTTCAAAAATCTCATATTGTGCACAGATGGATTTTAAAAAGTGTTAGATCTTTCCAATGAACACTAATAGAGTTCTCTGCTCTTGGCTGGATTTTTCAGGTAAGAAGCCTCTTTAGGATTTAAGATTCTGAAAGCAGATTTGAAATATAGTCAACCAGACCTAGGTAAGGTTGGATGCATTATTTGTGGTTGGGGAAACCTAGTAACAGAGACAGCCTCTTTGTAAGGAGATTGATCACTGTGAGTGGTATTTAGGGACCTTGGAAGTAATGCTGAGAATTAAAGTAAGTTTAAATTAAGAAAAGAAGACGGAAAATATCTCCATTGTAAAGAGACAATAATCTGCTTGATGCTAAGGTCTATGTGGGTGAAGAAATGAGCAAGAAAAAGCAGTCATTGAAAAACTGTCAAGTTTTGATTGTGCCAGGATTTATACCACCCCCCACGTTTCATTTCTAGTGCCTTTTAACTGAAATTTACAAGCATTCGATGCATGCCATGGTTAACTTGGGTTTTTTATTTTTCTTTCTAAAATTTACAGGGCTTTTAAAACTCTGAACCCCAAATGCATTTCATTTTAGGGTTCACAGGAAAGGTGTTGCTATTTATTCCTATTGAAGAGAAATCATCCCTGTTATACTGATAGCTCTCAATACAGCGAGGGAAAGTATGTTGTATACAAAAGTCAACAGTGGACAGCACGCAACTAATTACAAAGTGAATGGGCCATCTGAATCACAGACTGGGGCTTGAATGGCACCATGCTGTCAGAAATAATGTTTTTCTACTTTGCACTTAATTATGGTTGTCACCATTTGTCTTTTATAATTCTAAAAACCCTTCTCAAAGACTTCATCTCTCTCCTATTTTCTGTGCACAAATGCACATACTGTGTTATGTGCATATATATATGTATATATATACATGTATGTATATATATATATATATAGCATATTGTCTTGCTTTGTGAACATCACAATTATTGAAAGAGTTCCAATTTCCACGAATAAAGGAGCCATGCTGGAAAACACAATCACTAGTTGATTTAAAATGTGCAGTTGAAATTCTTCAAGGGTATGTTTTGACAGTGGAAAACAGAACCAATCCTGGTTCAAAGGCCCCCTTTCCCTAAGGAAAAAAAAGCAGATAGTTAACAGGATTCTTGCATAGAACATGCTTCCCCGTCTCTGGATGAATAGGACGATGCCTCAAGTTTGATTAATTTGGCAATATGAAATGCAGCATAAGGTGTTGTTTAGGAATTGGACAATATGTAGTGCAGTTGAGCCTTGTGGCTCCTAAGATCCTTGTAGGTGAGGACAAGACTGTCAAAGTTTCAATGCCTGAGAAAAGGTGTATGACCATCCAAAATTACACGCACCACCTGTCTATGCATGTTCATCAACACTGTACAACAAATGCCACAATGGAATCCTAGGGGGAAAAGCAAGCTTATAAATTATGGCTCGGTCCATAAAAGAAGCATAGATCTTCGATCTAAAACCAATTCTGGCTGAAGTCAATTCTTTCTGATTTTCAGTCCAGCCAAAAAGACTGGTTTTATCAGGAGATTACAACATGCCTCTGAGAAATGAGTACTTAGTTTAGAAGACAGCATTGCGATGAAAAATTCATGATTGTAGAATTTAAAATTAAAAAGAAAAAGAGCCTACCCGTTCCTTCCAGGCTTATGTCAGACTTGCAATGAAGTTAGAACGGGAACTGGAGAATGCAGTTTTCCACTTACAGTTTAAAAGCGGGATTTTTAGTCAGCAGTACAAACTATCAGGTATTGTTTCAAACTACCCAAGCATCCAAAACTTTTATTTTTCTATCTGAGAAATCCTTGGAGTTTTGCTTTGCATCATTTCCAAAATTATTGTAGGGTCTCCTAGGGAGTGGTTTTCCCTCAATCCCACTTCACAAGGCATGACCCCTGCTGGATTATTAATTCAAGCCAGCAAAGTAGCAAGGGAACATGACGTGTGAGATCTTTCTTCCTTCTTCAGTGGGACTGCCTGAGCTGAGGGCTGGAAGCTGGGGGTGAACCTTCCTGTCTCATGTTCTCTTTAGAGAATGGCAATGGTCTCGGCGATGTCCTGGATCCTGTATTTGTGGATAAGTGCTTGTGCCATGCTGCTCTGCCAGGGATCCCTGCAACACACCTTCCAGCAGCACCACCTGCACAGACCAGGTAAGTCAGGAGCTGGCTGGAGGGCAACCTCCTCTGGTCACAGTGTTTTCTCTTGAACAGATGGTTCAAGGCAAGTGATAGCACTGTCATGTGGGCAGCTTGCCTTTGAATCCCAAGGCACAGTGTTGGCTGGCTGCTCAGGGTCAGTGGGATGCTGAAATGCTTTGCAAGGACCTATTAACGTCTCAGAACGGTGGTCTTTCACTACGAGTGAGTCTCCCTGTCTCCCACACACACCTTAAAAAGTGTAAGTCGTTGGGTTGGGGATACTTTGGACAGTAGTTCAATATTCTGCAAAGGGAGGATAACTTTCAAGGTCCCAGAAAATTTAAGAGGGACAATCAAATATGATCTTTGCAGCTGATACAAGATTGTGTGAGTCTTCCAGGGGTGCCTTTGCCCCTAGGACAGTTACTGTAATCCCTGTCTGCAGGTGTGTCTGTAGAGTGATAATCACAAAACTTTGAGAGTAAATTGTCAACAGAAAAAAATATATATATATATATTAAAAAGTAACTTACTATTTCTCGTCTGTTTTAATTTGCCTCCTTTCCTCATTCCCTTCCTTTATTTTTTGTTCTTCCAGTAGGCTTAGTGGCCCCCCTCCTTATTCCCTCGACACTTTCGGTGACAGGTTTGCTTTAGCTGACCCCTCTTACTGAATTTTGAGCTCTCCCTGCATTTTGCTTTCATCTTCTTCACAGTCAAAACATATGGCTTACTCCTCCATTTGGTTTTTCCTTTTCTTTCTGATTTTCTTTGTCCTTTGTCTCGCCAGCTTGTTTCTTACTGCCCTCCAGCTCTATTGTCCCTACCTCCACCGGGTTCTCGGTGAGCCTTCCATTTTCGGTTTAGCTCCGGCTTCGGTGTCCTCTCCCCGCCCACCCCTTCCCTCCCCTCCCCCTCCGCGCCCCCTCCCCGTCCCCAGCACCCACGCCCCGCGCCGCCCAGTCCGGGCTCCGGGGACCAGTTGCGCGCGCGGGCCGGGCGCAGGTGCTCGCAGGCTTCCTCGCGGCCCCTGTCCCCGTCGGTCGCTGCGCCGCCTCCTCCGAGAAGCTGGCCAGAGTGGACGCCTTCGCCTTTCCCGGCTCCGCACCCGCTGGGTGCCGCGCCGGGGCTCCCGCCCAGTGCTGCCCGGGGCGCCACGTGCAGCCTTCCGGCGCTCCGGCTCCAGGAACCAGGAGCGCGGGTGCGTCCGGGGGAGCCTCGCGCGCCCGCACCCGCCCGCACCCGCCAGCACACGGCGCGCCAGCGCGCTGGGTTCCGGGGCTCCTGGCGCCCCGCCACGAGGGGCGGGGGCGGCCTGCTTTGGGGCTGCGCTGGGGGGCTCCCCCCGGGCCCGCGCCGTCATTGCCCACGCCCTCGCTCTGGGCGGGGTGGCCAGCGGGCACTGGTGCCCCTGCAGGCTGGCAGGGGAACGTCTCCCGGCTGCGGGGCGTTTGCCTTCGTGCCTTCTGAGCCGCCCCAGGTGGGAGACTTCAGCGCCTGAGGTGGAGGAAAACAAACGTGGATTCGGGGATCCCCACGTTAATTCGGATCCGTTAATCACCTCTCTGCTCGGGGTAACACGTCTTTGACCCGTGACGCGGCCATATAAAGCATTTGAGAGATTTGCATTCATCGTAGTACCCCACGATAAAAATTCATAAGAAAGCAACTCTTAATGTTGAGGATTTTAGGCACTGTGCCTCAAGGTCAGTTCACATTGAGTGTTTAGTTCTTATGCCCAGTGGGCCCAGGAAGTCGAAGTTCAGAGGGCTTGGATGACTTGTGTGAGACCACACAGCTCATGGCTGCCATTGGATGTCCGGTCTGTCTGATTACACAGGTAGGACTGGTAGCTACCGGAGGCTCTCAGGCCTGCTTGGACACAGAATAAACCCGCCAGCTAACCTCGGTGGAGGTGTGAGCCATTCGCATAGTGGGGACATGTCTCAAGGTGTGTAAATGTACGGACTCCTTTGAATGGCAAGTCCATTCTGAGTGGGGGACCGTGGCTGGCAGTGGTGGCCTGCAGTGCCGGTGGGCGCGAAAGAACTCACGATAGGGGGCCCAAGACTTGAGTTCAGCCACCATTGCTGTCACTAACACAAGTCATTTAAAGACTGAATCCTTTCCTCGAATGCAGATCTTGCAGGCCTGTAAATAAAATAATGCTGTTGAAAGAACCTTATAGACTGTCAAGTTCTTCGTGAATATCAGCAATTACTAATATCCCCATGTAATAGACTACAAACGTGCATATGTTGGAGTTTGAGTACACACATTTTTTTCTGTTTATACAACATTAACCCAGGCTAAAACTCAGTTATCTTGTTGCTTTTTAAAATTATGTTGTACATGACATGTTGTGTCTTGCTTTACCATCTATGCATATGAACAAGAACAGAGCACACTTTGCAATAAGCTTTGTTTAACATGTATATTATCTCCACAAATTAATAAATGCTTTATGGTGAGAGGTTATGGGCATATTACAAGTAATAAGTAAAACCAGGCCTACATATAACGATATGGCTTATTATTAAAACATCATACATTTCCACCATGAAATAGGTCAATAGAGTCAGCCTAAAATTAAACTCAATATTTATTTCCTTTATTGCCTACTCTTAGAAATTGCTTATTACCACCAACCCGTGGTCCATCAGAACATCAAATGCCCCAAGAAACAGCCGCACTGAAACCAATTTCAACCCCAACTGCTTATACATTTGAGACCCATTTCGGCTTCACTGATGAAATGAAGAAGCCATAACCACTCTCTCTAGATGCAAAAACCCTAAAGTGACAGTAAACGGGACGTCCACGGGCTCTATGCACTACATCTATTCAACTTCCCTTGATTTTTCAACAATAGCGGTAAAGATTAAAGCAATAGATCTTGGCCACAGCAATATACTCGATTATTCCAGTCACACTCTGTAATACAATCTTCTATTTTGATTTTAAGAGTAAATATATACCTTTTTAGATGAGTGTTGGGATGTTTTCCTGGCCGGACCTTAAATTTTCAGGGACACTAGTGAAATGTGTCTGGAAAGGAGAGAGCCCAGAGCCAGTGATCTAGGACAATCCACCCCCAAGTGAGCAAATAAATAAATAAACAGCTGGATAAATGGGCAAAAAGGAAAAAAAAGCATAATCTCATTTTCTCAAATCGGTGAAAACAAGTGACATGATGAGAAAAAACGAGACACAAGCAGACCCTGAGCTTTGCCACATTTGCCTAAGCTTGAAAAATCGCTTCTTTCATAAAGCAGGAGCAGGCAGACACAGCGTGCATAGCAAGTATCTGGGAAATGTGAAAAATGACAAATCTTTCACTCAGAGCCCTGAATGGGGCCAGAGGAAAGGCTTTACAGCTGCCTCCTCGCCTGCTTAGGGATGGCTGTCCCCTACCCCCCTTCTTGCTGGCCCATCCCCAAGTAAGATTGATGGTGCTCTGATCCCAAGCAGCCAATTTCAGTCTCTCAAGAAATAATCCACTATTGTGACAGATGAGCGGAATTTGATGTTCCTCTTGAACGAGGTTCCTCTTGTTTAGACTGTGCCACACCTGGAGGGCACCAGCCAGCCAGGGGCCTTGGGGAAAATGTTTAGGGATTGGGGCCAATTTCTACTATCAGGACATGCAGTGGGAACATGTTTTTGTGAGGCCGTGAATTTGTGATCTGTCATCTCAATGTGGTGGGTTTGTACACAAACAGAATGAGAATATGTTAACGAGGAAACTGACTGATTTTAATGTATTCCCCTGCAGTCCCTAAGTACTTCCTATTTTTCATATTTATAGTATTAGGAACGCACCATTTATTTTCAGTTATTCACTTGTTAAGGAAGATTAAAACAGTCAATCAAATGAAAGTGAATTTTAAAATTACACAAATGAGGAAAATGGGCTATAGATTAACAGATTCATAATTTCAGTAATTTAATATTTGGCTAGATGGGAGTTTTTATTTTGGGAATGATGTAGACATGATCATAACAACCAAAAGAATATTGAAACTTCCTTATTTTTAATAATAGTAAAACTAGGGAAGATGTGGAATTAAATAAAGACAGACTAAACAATGAAAAGCTAAGTGTGGTATTCCATCATTACAGGTAATTAAGACTTTATGATCGCCAGTTTTGTGTAAAAAGGGATGAGTGGTTTGGTAAATGCTACCTTCTAATTTAGGATTGTCTCCCCTCCCCCATTATGGATAAATGAATTATGACAGCTCTTTTAATGATGACTTAATTTTGAGTATCTGTCGGGGGAGATGGTGGTGTCCTTGGAACTTAATAAAGGATGGATCATTTCAAAATAATTTAGAGAGAGACGATCCTTGGGATTCTTTCATAATTTAAACTTATATAGATAAATTACAGGAGACAAGAAGCTATAAGTGCCTAATGAATCATTTATTCTTGAGTCCCTGCCATTTTATTGACAGGACTGTGTGGTAATAATATATAAAAAGATTACTCCGGATAAAGTTGTCTGTGTAAGGTGGCCTGATTTAAAGCTATACTAAGCAAACTGTATAAGTTAGAAGTATTCACTTATGATTTACTTATTCCACACTATCACTATTTTTTAATGTGGTAGCTTTGTTAAAATATTCAAAGGCATTCCTACATGACTACACTTATTTTTATTTTATTGTTCAATGATACTTGACTGAAAACTGCGCAAGGAATACACATTTGAATACCACGATGCCTAGCAATAAAGAACTGTTTATAATGGTAATATAAAAAAACTAGTGGGAAAACCCAAGATTGCATATTGGCTTTTTAAGACTGTCTACCTGTGCTAGGGTACTAAGTATAATGAATTGGCCTCGGGAGTAGAGCAGACAGGTGGTTATTTGCGGGTAAACTGGTGCTAGTGATAATCCATTGATCATCCGATTGAAGATATTGACCTAATACTGGAACCAAAGTGTAGCTGTGGGCATTTGCTAAGACTCTAACATTTTAAAGTCAAGTAGAAATGCAGGTACAGA